ATGAATATGAATCTACGCGAATTTCTGGCGAACGATGCGACGATACAAGCGAGACTACCTCCAGAAGTCTGTTCTGTTAAAAAAGACCAGAAGGTCTTAGGAATCGCATGGAACTCCAACACTGACACTATGGCAATAAGTTGCAAATTTTCGGATACCGTGCACATTACAAAAAGAAAAGTAGCGCAACAGATTGCATCTATATACGATCCACTCGGTTGGCTCGTACCACTACTAGTTCAACACAAGTGCTTCCAACAACACTTGTGGGTGAAAGGATACTCTTGGGATCAAGAACTCTCCCAACCTCTACAGGAAGAGTACAGAAGAATCTGCGAAGATGCGAATGGTTTCAAAAAGGACTTCATTAGGGAGATTTCCGTGGAAGCACCCTACAATTTGGCAATCTTCGCAGATGCAAGCGAACAGGCACTAGCCGCTTGTGCTTACGTATTTGATAACAGAAAATCGTCCTTATTAATGGCAAAGTCAAAATTGCCATCCATCAAACTAAAAGCAACGATACCCAAGGCCGAAATGAACGCCCTAACGATGGCTACAAGACTGGCTCGATCTGTTAATGAAGCCCTGCAAGAATCCAACACTGTCATAAACAACATATTCATTTTTTCAGACTCCCAAGTTGTGCTCGGGTGGATCACAAAATCTCCGGAAGATCACGAATTGGGGTACTTGTACGCAACAGACTAAAGGAGATTCACAAAATCATCGAGGCGATAAGCGAAATGCGTACTGAAGTCTTCTTTGGATATGTACCATCTAAGAACAATCCAGCAGACGCCGGCACACGCGGCCTTACAAAGGCACAGTTGGAAAACCACGAATGGTGGGAAGGCCCACAGTTCCTTCAACAACCAATCACAACATGGAGTGCGTCCTTGTTCAGGATAGTCGATACCGCTATACATCTCAAGAACATCGGAAACATCCTTTGCCTTCACTACCATAAACATCGAAGAACATCGTCGATCACTGTTTCCGATCGAACACTATTCAACCTTGATCAAGGCGCAACGGATAATTGCGTGGATACTCCGATTCATTCGTAAATCAACGAAAAACTTACCAAGAGAAAGCTTAGACCGAATACTAAGCCACATTCCAGAATTAAAATTAAAACAGGCACATACGGAAGAGGGTGGACCTTTAAAGGCGGCGAAAGTAAATGCGAGTTTCCTCCGCGAAGTGATCTCTGCATCGAAATCATCAATTCAATGACGATTTCTCGGAATACGGTCAAATCTATGAGCAAAAAAATGAAGTTACATTCGGAAGGACAAAGATGAGGATTTATGGAAGCGCGAGGGTGGACCGCCCTAGACAAGGCTTCATAAGCGACAGTTGAGGCGAAATTCCAATACTGATCCTCCCAAAGCGTGAAACTTAACAGAAAAAGAATACGACAGGTACACGGGCAACTGATCATAAAGAATAGTCCCCACATACAATGTCAAGCAGTACGAGAAGAATACTGGGTTCCTCAGCTACGCCGTCAGGTGAAGGTTTTAATAAAACGATGCCCGAAATGTAAACGCTTCAACGGCCTACCTTACAGTTATCCTGAAATGTCAGACCTACCTTCGCGACGCGCGTACAAGAAGCACGACCCTTCGAACATATAGGACTCGACTTCTTCGACTTACCCCCCGCAAAAGATGACGACCAATTGACAAAAACCTACGGCTGCATTTTTACATGTGCAGTGACACGTATGGTACACCTAGAAGTCTTGCAAAAATGAATACGGGAGCATTCCTCAATGTACTCAGGAGATTTTTTTCTCGCCGGGGAGTTCCATCGACGATAACATGCGATAATGCGCCAACATTTATGCTAACGGCCGAAATCCTTGACAACGTCACCATCAACGAACCAATAACAGACTTCTTGAGTTGCAAGGGCATTGAGTGGAAAACAATAACCCCATACGCCCCTTGGAAGGCGGCTTCTATGAGAGGCTGATAAAAACTATCAAACATGCCCTATGCAAAGCAATCGGACGCGCAAAATTCCTTACGATAGCCTTATTACCGTCATCACGGAAATAGAGGGCTGTATAAACACGAGACCACTCACCTATCAAGAAACGGACTTGGAAGAATTCAATTCGGTGAGACCAATTGACCTCCTACAAAACAAATTGCAAGTCGTGTTTCCATTCGAGAATGTGGACTTCCGACCCAAATGATCCGGACTACACTCATCCAATGGAATTCCTACGTTAGAAACAAGGAGGCAAGCGGTGGAAGCGCTACAATCATCCATCAGTTTCACCAAGCAGTTTTGGGACGTGTGGAGACATCAATACTTAAGCGCCCTTCGCGAACAACACAAGGTTCAAATGTCCAAAAATAAAAGAAATCCTACCTCCCCCCAAAAAGGAGCTATAGTCCTCGTCAGCGACCCAATATTACCGCGCAACGACTGGAAGCTAGCCCGCATAATCAACTTAAAACTATCAACGGATGGAACAATCAGGGAAGCAGAACTTATCACAGCAAAAGGAAGAAAAATAAGAAGACCCATAAATCTACTTGTACCAACGGAAATTAATTGCGAAGAAAGCGATAAGCACTGAAAAACTCACCGGAACCGGCGAAAAAGGCGAAACTGGAAGACACTCCTACAACTTGCGACCACGCAACCAACGCAAATAAACCTGCAACGAAAAGCGATTAGCGACTTGAGCGACCTCTTTGAACATACAACAATACACAACGATAAACACAAGGCACGTATTCATTCGACACGAATTTAACAAGCGAAACAAGCAAAACAAGCAAAATCAGAAAAAAAAATAACAAAACAATGCAAGAAACAGCAAAAAAACGAATCAGCCGTCAATTGTACAGTCGTTGTGCGCAAAGTCTGCAATCTACACGCACAACACCATATCTGACGCGCACTCATCCATAACTGTAATTCGCAACTACAAAACACGCAAAAACAGCGCTTTAAGTGCAACTGCACTCAGACGACTCAAACCAGACGTCTCGACCCATCGAACATTCTAGTAACCTTTCCACACGGGACCCCCTGCAAGGGAAAGTGTTCAGGATTCCTATGACATCCATTCACCTTAATGGCAATACGACGCCATCGACTTCTTCTTCCACTACTAGACGTTTCATTACTTTTTTTCTCTTTCTCATGCATTCTGCATCCAGTAGCTTCCGACGGCGCCCTTTTGTGTCACTTTATCCAATGCTAAAATTCAGCCGTCATCATTGGCGCATGCCTGTTCATTTTCCTTTCGAAGTTTCCTTTTGAAACTTCGTTTCGAGGTTGCCTTTTTGAAACTTTCCTTTGCAGTTTCTTCTCGAAACTTCGTTTCGAAGTCTCTTTTTGAAACTTCTTCAAGTTTCTTTTTGAAACTTCCTTTTGAAGTTTCCTTTTTGAACCTTCCCTTTCGAAGTTTCTTTTTGAACCGCTCATGACATTGCATGGTGCGCGTACTGTTTCATTACTTTCAACTATTTCGTCCCATTTCGGAATAGCTTCATCTTTCTTTGAACAATGCCACTTGTTCTCGTTCATATCTGCATTCATGCGATTATCACTCCACTTTCATTGTGATGTTGAGGAAGTTATTTCATCATCTCACCAAAAATATGTAACAAGATCGGCACATTTCACCATCCACTTCATGCTATCCCTTTTTTATGTGATCAATCACCTGATGAAATCAGTTTTCTCGTCTTGCCTCAAATGCCCCAACCCCCCCTTTTTATAAACACTTATCCTTTTGTGGTACATTTGGCATGCAAGTCCTGCTTGTCCTGCTTGCTGTGTATTGCACACAGCTGCTGCAAAAAAAAAAGAATCGAGGGATCATTTAGTCGGAATGGCCGATATCCTTTCAGTTCAAAGATCATTTTTCTTCCTTCGATTGTTGCGACTACAACTTTATCATTCCTCCGATGATTTCATTGTTCGATCAAATGAGCAACATCGAATCAAACTCCGTTTTTTGCAACACAAATTCTTCCGCGACAATTATGCGAATCTGCTCTCGTGTCCATGCGATAGAAACGCAAGAAAAGAATATCTTTTTGAGCAATTTGAGATTTTAATTTGTTCTCTCCCATCTTGAGCGCGTAGGATAAAACAACTATCTGCTAATCTTCATTTATACCCAATGGCAATTTTATTGTTTGCTGATGATCCTTTTGCGAATACGTCTCAAGTTGTCTCTACGTTGTCGCGACTCTCATTAACTGAACACTATATTCAGTGCTCGCACCCGGCGAATTTCGATAGTTGAGCGAAGTCCAATTTGCCTGACACTTCTCAGCTTCGCGAGTATAGTTCGTCTCATTCACGTCAAGGTACGATCATCTTGCAATTCTTATCAAAGCTTAGCTTCCTTGGGACAAAGTTCAATATATGTACTTTGGTAGGAATCATTGATCCATATCATCAGACCATCGATCAAATAAGTTCAAGGACAATTCCAATTATAGTCTTCACGCGAGGTACACTTTCTGCGAAAACATCACGTTTGCCCCATTGAACCTCTGTCATTTTAGACGCTCTATTTTCCTCACTTGAGTAATTCACACACTGCAAAAAGGAGTGCGAATCTTTTGAATACCCCTACCAGCAACCAATTCAAGGTACCTTCTACTTGCAAAAAAAACATAATTCAAGTGCGAGTCTCTTTTTATATTCAGAGCGATTCCAATCCTCTCAAGTAGCAGTGCAACGTAGGAAATTTGCGAAAATACTACAAGGTACAATCTTTGCAAGCACTTCATCAATTGCGATATCCCTTCTTGAACCAACTCGTATAGGTTCGAGCGCCCCTGCAAGTCGAACGTGCAAGAACACGATAATCATCATTGTTGATCCGTGCAACTCAGCGATTGATTATAACACCAGGTACATTGCAAACATTCCATCGACTGATCTTTATGTTAATGCGAACATAAACAATTATTTGCGAAAAAAGAAGAAGAACATATTCCACAGCTGTGACTTCAACATACTTACCCTCACCTTTTAGACATGAATCGTCACGACGACGCGAAAAAAGAGCTCAAGCGACTGAAATCAGCGTTACCTGCTCTGCCGTCTCCGGATAAACTATACGATGACATCGTCGTCAACTGCCAAGATGTGATGCACATCGTAGAGCGCTTCGAACGACTTAAACAAGATACCCATGTTTTTTACAATCGTAACTTAACTTTTAGTGAACTAGAACGTGATGCCTATATAATTGAACTGAGAACTGAAAATTGTAAATGTCGTCTCCAACTTCTTCTCAAACAGTTGCGCTTGTTGTACTCTTCTGTTCCTCTCCTCATTGCGAAGAAGGCGATATCCTCGAGAGCATGGCAATCGAAAATGGAAATTCCCCAGACTTACACCTCTCAGGCCGGCAACAGAAGACCCTTGCTGATCAGTCAGCCCGACATGGAACGGATCACCAAGGACCACTTGCAAGCATGGAAGACTTCTTTGCCACCTTACGACAGTTGAAAGCTGACTGTCTGACCCAAGAGCGAGAACTTCAGCAAACCACTCAAAAAGAAATTCTCGAGGCGCTGAAGTCAATGAATGAAACAATCAAAGAAATGCACGAAAAGGTTGAACAGCTGGAGGCAGCTCAGAAGCCACCGCAACCGAACAATGGTCTCTATTGCGATCGAGGCGAAAATAAACGATGAGCGCGAGAGAATAGCGGAAAACGCGGAGTTTATGGAACCTCTCGTCGTAGACGAAGAAATGGATGACGAAGAGAAAGCATTGCGAAAAGAAATCGAACAACTCGAAGCTGAACTGACCGACCTCAGCCGACACAGGCGAGAGCTAGCGCGGAGAAGGACTTTGTCGACCCCGCGAGTATAGAGCTGGAGTTTATCGCACGGAAGAAAAACGTATGCCATGTACATTTTGTGGAGTAAAAGGACATCACTACTCCGACTCATGTACCAAAATACGCACAGGAAAAGAAAGAAAGGAGTATCTCGATAGACATGGAATATGCAAAAATTGTTTGGAAATAGAATGCGAAAGAAGCGACAATTGTACGAAAGCAAAAATTCCATGCTTTCACTGCAAAGAACTAGGACATCACTCTGCCGCTTGCACACTGCCAGAAAAGTCGCTCCAGATAGAAGCCGAGAAAAATCACTGCGAACTGGCAATGAACGACGTAAGACAACGTCTCCGCAATCTACGTACGTTACAGGAGGCAATGAACTAAACATCAACCAGCCAAAAAAAATTGAATAAAACAACACTTTTTCTTGTGGGCCGGAGTATCGCGGACTGCCCGCGATCTAGAAGTTCAATGGTTGATTTGTCAGTCAAAGAAAATGATCTTCTATCTGATCACACGATCGCGCGCCAAAAGGCGCTATAAAAGAGGCTGAGAGGGGAACCAGAACCCAGTCTTCCTCGAGCTCTTCCAGACAACTTTTGCGACTAAGCGATTTGCAACATTGCGATTCTATTTGCGATTGCCCTCTCTGGCGGAGCCCTCATCCTCATTGCACTTGTTCTCTAGCGATTCTCTTTGAAGTATTCTTATTTGCGAAGTTTTATCATCACGGTTATTCCATTACGTGTTCTAATACTCAGTTACTAACATTCACCGGTTTATTGTTATTGTTCTCATCTATTGTTGGTCTCTGTCCATTGGACCTTTACTGATCTCGTGAAGATTTGTTCTACTCGTTGTTATTTTGTTGGTTTCTTTACATAAAAGTTTAATTACTAAGTTTGTATGCTATACGAAGTTGGAGGCTGTGGGTGGCAAAAGACGCCACGCGGTGGGTGGAGAGGCACAAGCACACGAAACTAAAGGGCATTCTACTGGAGAGGACCTTTCAATGATATCATGAATCGTGGTTTACTCGGGAAGCTCGGTAGATAGAATTCTAGATTCAATGTAAAGGGGTAACATAGTTCTCGATGGTTGAATCGATTCACTTCGTCTTGAGCGAGACAGATGCGGCGATGAACCAGGTCATCCATTTCTTCCTATGTCCGGTGACTGCATACGATCAATGATGGAAGATAAAGAAGTTAGATGTGAAAATAAGCACTAATAGTCAATACGCTGCGCTGACGGATCACTCTAAGGAAGGGGTCGTAAAAATTTTGGGGGGGGACTGGGCGCAAACGCAAGGGTTGAACCCTGAGGGAAAAGGAATACCTGTACGGGGAACGCTAGCAAGTTCTTGCCCCAAGCAGGAATGTGGTATGAGGGATTATTAGAGGCGCAGAAGAAATTCGCTTTCGACGAGAAACAGAGCTTATAAAAAACCACATTTTATGGTCGATCGTAGTGTAAGGGCGCGGAGCAAAGGCGGGGCTGTGGACGGGAATCCGCCTTGCGGCGGGCTAGTATAGCGCAGTAATTAAAGAATTGGTGAGCGTTTGCGGTTTTGGGAGAACTACGTAGCAAAAACGGATCGATCCCGCAGACTGCAGAGACAGTGTGAGATGTATAGTGCAGTGAGTCAAAGTTTAATGGAAGTCGGTCCACGACCAGAGCAGTGCGGGACTGGCAGTTTTTGTGCGAAATGCATGGAGAGTATCGGATCACGTCTTTTTTTTTATTATTATCGAGCGGGACGGACGAGACGTGAACGCAGTTCATTCGAAGACCTTCCCATGAAGCGTGGAATAGTAACTCAGGCAGATTTGTCGTCGCAAACATTCCCAGGTCTCGCCCATGGTCCATGGTCGGGGGCGATTCCTTTAAAGAGTTTCTACGGGACCATGTCATTCAGCGCAGCATTTGTGACAGATGTCCGGCGGCAATTTGAACGCGTAGCACTCCTTTCGGTTTTTCGAATTATTTACTGGAACAAATGCATTTTTTTGTTCTTTTTGTTCTTATCGTAGTTCCCAAGTCAGTGATTTAGGGGTGAGATAGAATCATGGTCTTTCCGGGAAGGTTAAAGACATTGAATACGTTCGAACGAAAAGCGAATGCACGGCGCATCTCGGCAGGATAAGTGGACGGCGAACATTCTTTTGCTACTCAGTTTGCGTTATGGTTAGGCGCATCGAGGCATTCCATCGTGCCAAAGCCCTTTGCAAAGTGAAGTATAAGTGCAGGGATGAAGACCAGGTGTTAATATGTAGGAAAGAAGTACTTGTAGCACCTGCATCTACATAACAAGCAGTTCCTGGAACCAACAGGACAAGAGTGAATCGCGGAAGAAGTTTCTGCTGCCTCCAATAAAGCAAATGGATCTTGAAGTCATTCACTCGGAAAGACCAAGACAAGAACTCCCTGCGCCATCTCAAGGTCCCTTGCCTCGTTTGCTCTCGTGCAGATGATCCTGCACAGCTGCCGAACATGCTATCAATCTTCAGCACTGAATTTGAGATTTGCCGTCCGGCTGTAAAATTTATGGGCGCTCATTAGAAAGAGTGAAAAATGAGTCGAAATGTAATACAACAAAGAAATCATTCGCGAACGAGTTATTCATCAAGATTTTCATAGAAAAATGATTGAGCCTCGGAGAAGCAGAGGAAAATGTTGGTGACTTTTGAGGCCTCGAATAGATCTAGGTAGCCTAACCCAGTAGGACTTCTAAAGACACTGCGATTCCTTCGAGGGTTAGGGACGGAGGAGGGGAGGTGGGGTGAATTGGTGTCATGAAGCGGCAAATCTACCAACCTTGCCACTACTAAGGTAAAACTTTCACCAAACTGATCAACTCTTCAAAGAACCCGTTCAAGCACAACTCCGTTCAACAGCCTCCGTCAACCTCCTTTCCCACTGTGATAACCTTGCCCAACATCAAAATGCGACCTCCCACTTCCCAAAATCGGATGCGACCCCCCCCCCTGGTTCGAATGGTACGAAC